ATCAGAAGCCACCTGGGATATTTGTTGAATTTGGGCACAGAATGGTTGCAGATGAGTGTGATATCAATGGAGGGACTCTGATGATGGAAAAGAAACCATGCTGGCTTTTTTTGACTACATGTCCTGAAGAAACATGCTGGGGTCCACAGAGACACCAAATCAGAGGCGATTTCTACTCATAAGCCAGTTTATCTGTAAGGAAATTTTATTGAGAGCATCTTGGTTGTGGACTATGTTGGGAAGCACAGAGACATCTTTGCAGTCCTGTGGTGCTTAGAGGCAAATGTCCTGAGATTGGGAGAGGCCTGTGTGGTGGTCAAATTCCAATACTTACCCAGTCACCTCGGCCTCCTGTATCTGGACCCACCCTCTTGAGTGTGTCCTGGGCCTACTGAATTGCTTCCAACCAACACATGGCAAAACTAATGAGATGTCACTTTTGAGATTAGGGTACAAAAAGACTCTGGCTTTCATAATCTGGGCACTTGTTTTTCTGTCACCTATCTGTTTGTCTTAATGGGAGCCTACAGCCATGTGTGATCTTCCCTGTGACAGAGACCTGCGGAAGGCCTCTCTGTTCTAGAGCCTACGGGAACTCCATCTTTCCAAAATGAGTGGACTTGGATACAGGTCTCTTCCCAGTGGAACTTTGAGAAGACCGCAGCCCTAGCAGATACTTTGAGTGTGCTTGTTATTACTCTGGTTTATTTTCGAGAAGTAGGAAGTTATAAATAAGTGCATAAAAGTCCATAGTTTTCTAAAATACCAACATATATCAATGAGAAGGAAAAATCAGAACTTGGGCTGTCATTTAAATAAGCAAAACAAACAAACAAGCAAACAAACAAACAAACGACAAAATATCCTTAAGGGGAAAAAGAAAGTTTCTTTTAGAGTCAGAAATATTTTATTAAATGAGAAAATGGGAATCATTTCAGATTCTTGTTAAAGAAGACCTAAGTTTCCCTAATTTACATAATAATAAATGGATTTGCAGATATGTAAGTCAAAAAGTCATAGATTGAAAAGAAAAAGAGTCTACATTTTACGTTAAGATCCTTGAAACTGGACATCAGAAGCGAAGTGTACAACTGAGCTTTCTCCTGAGAAAAAGGTCTCAGAGCGTTCTATGCACATTCACTTTTCCCCTTTTCCTCTTCTGTCAATGTTCGGAGGTCCTCAGAGACTGGGAGAACATCGGCCAATTTTGCTAATTATGACCTCTGTGTATTGATTTCTTGAGGCCACTCAAGAGTAAATAATTAGCCAGTGCCACCAGCCCTTCAGGCTGCCTGTCTCAATCTTTTCCTCTCAGACTTGTCATCTGCATCAGGCGATCCATGCCTGAGTGTCTTCCTCCCAGTCCTGAGGATGGAGCCTCAGCCCTCATCATTCACCAGGCAGGAGAAGGCAGTGGACCTAAACTAGGTCATGGCCCAGCAGAGACACAACACAGGCCAGTAAGTGCCAAGGACGATGGTCTTTGGAGGAGGTATTATGGAGAAACTTCTTTCCTTACTATCAAGACACCAGGAACAGCGGAGATGGCCAAACAGGAAGCATCAGTATGCAAAGTATCAACTCAGAGGCCTATAAAGTGTATGTTATTTTTTTTTCTGTTGCGGTTTTCAGAATTCTTATTTAGAATTCTAATTTTTGCCACTTCCATTTCTAGCTTCCGAAGTCGTTGCCCACACCTGAGCAGGAAATGGATTCCGAAAATATCACAAATGCTGGGATTGTGATCATGATGGGGATAAGGAGAGTAACCATAATATCACAAAACTTTATTGAGGGTTTCCTTGTCTCAGGCTCAGAGCTATGTGCTACGTAGCCTTAATTTTCATCTGTGTGATATTCCCATATTGGGGTGTACACACTATTGTTATTTTACAGTTGAGGATAGGGACACTATATTCTTATTTAATTTAAACTATGTCCTTGTGCATAAAAGATGAAGTCGGGTGTATATCTGAGCAGTGAGATTCTATTCGCAGGATGCAGGGTGTAGGACAATGTCTTCCCATACAATTTAGCTTTGTGTTACTATCGAGCCCTTAATACGTGGCTAGTCCAAATTGAGATGTGCTGTCAGCATAAAATATCAGATAGTTGAAGATGTACAAGAAAAAAATGCAAAAAAATCTCAATTTTGTGTGAAATTAAAATATTCTTGGAGTAATGGGTTGAATAAAATGTTAAAAATTGAAATGAAACAAAAAACCAACAAACCTATTTAACCTTCCCTTTCCAGGTCATGCAGGCAGAATGCCTGCAGGGAAGTGACTTAGTCTCATTTTTTCTTTCTTCCTTTTTTTTCCTTAGCAACTTTTATTTGTATAGCCCGAAATGGAAAATAAACCAAGTGTCCTTCAACAAGTGAAGAGCTAAAGACAATTTGGTACATTTATACCATACAATTATTCCTTCTTATTGCTGGAATACTATTCAGCAATAAGAAGGAATAAACCATTGATACACCCAATAACTTGGCTAAATCTTAAAAACTTTATGCTGAGTGAGAAAAGCCAATTTCTACTACTGTATGATTGCATTTACATAACATTCTCAAATGACAAAATTACAGAGATAAAGAACACATAAGTAGTTGCCAGGGGTTAGGTGTGGGGAGGGAGGCAGTAACAATAAAGGGATGAGGAACTTCCATGTTGTGATTGAATAGTTCAGTCTCTTGACTGTGGTGATAGTGATTATACAAATCTATACACGTAATTAAGCCATATTTCCCAAAACTACCAAAAGCCAACAAACAAACAACAAACAACAACAACAACAAAAAATAACAAGTGCATGTAAACTGGTAAAAGATCTGTAGCTATTTATTTGTATCATGCCAGTTATTTTTCTGGTTTAGACAGTGCTGAGTCTCAGTGAAGCCCCAATACCTACACTATAGTTAGTGTAGAACACGCAATCAAAACAAAGCAAAACAAACACAAATACACATGTAAACTCTCTTAAACATTGATTTACCATTCGTTAGTTTACAGGGACACAGTGTAGTCCATATGGCTGCCACACACTGAGGGCTTTCTCGCCCGGGCTTTCATTCCTTCCAGGGATGTCTGTGTGGCTAAAGATATAAATGAGATTCTGTCATTTCATTCCAAGTGCTCTTTCCAGAGTGACTACTTGAACCTGATGAGGGGGTTGTGGGAACCTCTGAATTATAGCCAAGCTGGCCCAAAGTTGTAGGTAACCTGGGGTCCTTACAGGTGGTATCTGAAGTGAGGGAGAAAGTGATTTTGTGGGACTGAGCCCTTAACCTCTGGGATCTTACATTCCAGGTAGATTGTGTCAGAATTGAGTTAACTCGTAGAACACTTAGCTGTAGTCATGGAGAATTGCTTGACGTGAGGGATCCTACTCCCATCATTTGATAACCAGAATGTCAGAAGTGAAGTGTTCTATTTAAAGTAAATGAGACATTAAGGAGATTAAAAAAGAAACAAAAAAACAACTGGTCAGTTTTTCTCCATACAGGGGTAAACATTTTTTTAATTTTTGATCTTTGAACCTTGAAATTTTATTTTATGCATTTCAAGTATACCATACATTGGTTGGACATTCATATAGTTTATAAAATGATCCTCCTACTTGCTATTTCTCTCCTCTGACTCTCCACCTAGGCAATGTATTAACGCTAACTGCATTCACTCTGCCGTGCTCTCCATCATCATGACCATCTATTAACTACTAATTTCTACTTCTTAAACCCTTAACCCCTTTTTCTCAGCCCCTCAAACTCCTTGCCTCTGGCCATCAGCAGATTGTCTTCTATATTTGTGAGTTTGCTTTTGATTAGTTTGTTCTTTTTGTTCCTTAGATTCCTCATATAAGTGAAATCATATGGTATTCGTCTTTCTCTGTCTTATTTCACTCAGCATAATAACCTCTAGGACCATCCATGTCATTGGGAATGGTAGGATTTCATTTTCTTTAATGGCTGTGTGATATTCCATTGTACACATGAACCATAATTTCTTTATCCAATCGTCTGTGGATGGGCATTTAGGTCGCTTCCATATGTTGGCTATTGTAAATTGTGCTGCAGGGCCAAAGACTCAGTTTAATTATAATTTAGTCAGAGTGTCCATGGCCAATAGTGGATTTTTGAGGGCAATAGGTGCTATTGCAAAAGAGAATTTAGACAAAGCAATAGTCTGCAATGATAAAGGTGAGGTATAGACGTCCTTTATTTTTATGTTTGAGAACTTCCTAAGATTTTAAGGTACCTTGTTAGAATGTAGTGGGATTCCTAGTTATTTCTGTCATTTGAGACATGGTATTGGTTGAGGATATGAAATTTTGCCAATTGATGCATTTCAGCTGAAGTTCACGTTAATTCAGAACCTATGTTGAAGAGATACAAAAGCCAATTAATGCCTCTTTTTTTCTCTAAATTCTTTCATTACATTCTGGAGTTCTAGCTGGGTCAAATTGTACAGCTCTGTTTCAGTTTTTGTTCCCTTTCCATACCCAGGTTTCTCTCTCTCTCTCTCTCTCTCTCTCTCTCTCTCTCTCTCTCTCTCTCTCTCCCCTTTCTTTCTTTCTGCCTTCCACTTTCTTTACTTTTTATTTTATCACTAGATATACTTCAAGGGCACTTCTCTCTATCCTGGTCATATTTATAGATTTCTTCCTCCAGAGAACCTCAAATCAGGATCTTCAGGGTGAGAGACCTCCTCCATGATGACGGTTGCTTTGTAGGTTTTAGGTACCTTGTGCTTAATGGTTTTAAGCCCTTTGCTGTATCACCGAAGTGTCATGAGTACAATTCTAAAACCCTGAGGATCCAGATCTTTGTCGAGACAAAGACATGGGTAATAGCAACAGCAGACATAATTAAAAGTCCTGGGAGCTCTCTGTGCTGAGGAGTGCAGACCTCGGCATGACACATAGTAGCTGTGTTTCTTTCTCTCCTCTCTTGTCAACTCCCATCCTCTCTCTTCCCTTTCCTTCTCCCGCCCCAAATTTGGGCTCTCACCCCAAATTTGGCTTGAATATTGAGGCTAAAAATGCTACACATTCAAGAGGGTATAAAAAGTTTTATCCTCATATGGATGTCTCTCTGTCTGGAGGAAGTCTAGCAGCCCATCTAAGCTAGTCTGCAATGACATGAGAGGTCAAGGAAAGTGGCTTTTTTTTATTGTAGTTAGATTGTGGGTTCAGAGTGAGAGTTCATACATATGCGAGGTTGGAAACTCTCACTGTCACCAAAAGAAGAAGGAGCCAGCCTTTTCAAAAATTGATAGTACTTTCAGGTATATGACATAATGATTTATATTTGATTATATTACAAAATGATCATCACAAGTCTAGATAAGATCTGTCACTGTACATAGTTACAAATTTTTTATCATAATAAGAACTTTTAAGATCTAGTGTCTTAGTAACTTTCAAATATGAAAGATAATATTATTAGTTATAGTTACCACACTGTACATTACATGCCCATGGCTTTTGTATTTTATAACTGGAGAACTCCGACTTTCTTATCAGGTGGTCCAGATGTTGGGCAAAACGGGAAGAGGGAGAGGTGTGGTTTAAAAATTGTTAAAAGTCTAATATCACACACACACAACAATGCAATCAGACAATTTATTACATAACTCTTATAGTATGTATATAAATAGTCCAAATCAAGAGAATTAATTGCACTGCATTTGGAGAAAATAAAATACGATCATAGCTCATTAGTGTCTATAATTAAAGAAACTAATAAAGAACTTTTTATTTTATTATGGGAGAAAGATATTTCTTACTTCTTTGCTTTCCTTCAAGAGGGGATTACCTTGCTCCTCTAATTTCTCTAGCTCATTCTTTCCAAAGGGATGCATGTAGTAACGGGTTAATGGAGCAAATCCAATGTGAAAAAGGTTCTCAGAAGAATGTTTGTCATAACTGCGAAATACTACTGAAGGAGTATGGTCTTCAATTGTGAATACTTTATTTATAAATTGCTTAAACACAAAATATAGACACGCTGATGGATACTTGTATACTTGTTTCCTTTATACCAATCCTCCTTTATTTTCCAAAAGGTGTCTGTGCTCTGTGGAACCACAGAACATAACAGGTGTCTTGAAATTTCTCCTCCTGGGACTCTCAGATGATCCAGAACTGCAGCCTCTAATTTTTGGGCTCTTCCTGTCCATATACCTGGTCACCATGCTGGGGAATCTGCTCATCTTCCTGGCTGTCAGCTCTGACTCCCACCTCCACACCCCTATGTACTTCTTCCTCTCCATTCTCTCCATGGCTGACATTGGTTTTACTTCTACCACCATCCCCAAGATGATTTTAGACATCCAAACTCACAGCAGAGTCATCTCCTATGCCGGATGCCTAATTCAATTGTCTTTTTTTATTGTTTTTGGATGTCTGGACAATGCACTTCTAACTGTGATGGCCTATGACCGGTTTATAGCTATTTGTTACCCCCTGCAATACCTGGTCATCATGAACCCCCGCCTCTGCAGCCTGCTGGTTCTAGCATCCTTTTTGATCAGCCTTTTGGACACTCAGTTGCACTGCTTGTTGATGTCACAACTTTCCTTTTGCACAAATGTGGAGATTCCTCATTTCTTCTGTGACCCTGCTCAACTCCTCAAGCTGGCCTGTAATGATACCTCCACCAATAACTTATTAATCTATGTTATTGGTGTCATCTTTGGTGGAGTTCCACTCTCAGGGATCATTTTCTCTTACTATAAAATTGTTTCCTCCATTCTGAGAGTCCCATCATCAGGTGGGAGGTATAAAGCCTTCGTCACCTGTGGTTCTCACCTGTCAGTTGTTTGCTTATTTTATGGAACAGGCCTTGGGGTGTACCTCAGTTCAACTGTCTCACTTTCTTTGAAGGAAGGTACAGTGGCCTCAGTGGTGTATACGATGGTCACCCCCATGCTGAATCCCTTCATCTACAGTCTGAGGAACAGGGACATCAAGAGAGCCCTGCAGAGTCTCCTTAACAGAACAGCCTAGTCTCAATACTCACTTCCCCCCATACTGTGGTCAGTAGATGAGAAATTACTGCAAAACCAAACATCTGGAATTGGTAAAATGCCTCTTTGAGCACACAATTGTTGTATCTCATGGTTTTCATTCCTTTTGAACTATTACATCAGAAAGTTGCTTATTCTGGCACATATTTGATGGGATAAGGGACTATTCTGTGATCCTATGTATGTCAAAATCGCTGCACAATTTAGTTGAATTACAACTATGAAATCTTATGTATTTGTCGCCGATGACCCAGGCATCCTGTGGATATTGACAACTCTCTTTTGAATACATAGCTATATATGATTCCCAATTATTTTCACCATCCATGCCTATTTTCCCTAAAACTTTGGCTTTGTTTAAATCTATTGATTCAGATTTTGTGAGAGAATGTGTGTCACTGGTCCTCCATCTAGGCTTCCTACTCAAAGCATCTGATAAGCTTTAAAATTCTTCATGTCTGAGTCCCGTCACTATAGATTACGATTTCATTGGACCAGAGAGTGAAAATATTACGAACGCATTTAACAGCACCCCAGGTGGGTCTAATATGCAGACAAGATGAGGAATACTGAATTTTGTCAGAACTTTTATTCAAAGATGACTTATATGTCTTGGGTTCTTTTCTGTCTATCTAAAGATCTGAAAGTGATCAGAGCTCATAAAGGAGCAGATACGAAAGAGTTTGCATTAGTCACAGTCAATGCAGTTTTTATCCTCATATTCCTGCTAATACATTTTTTCCCCACATACCTTCTCTATCCACACTCTGCAGCGATCCCTCTGTGCTGGATATTAAGCTATTGTTTTCTGCTGCAAACTTACCCTTTTATACTGTAAGTTGTGATGTTGTGGTGGGTGCTGGGAATTTAAACTGCTGCTCTGATTTTCCGCTTGGTTTCTCTTTAGGTTCTTCCAATAAGGGCCAGTAAAGGGCATACACTCTAACTTTTCCCTTACTCCTTAGACTATGGGTTTATCAACGTTTACTGCAGTTATGACACTGTGTTACTGTGGTTTTTTTTTTTTCATGCCTTCTATCTTTCAAAACCCATTTATCCACACCTATATGAAATTATCTTCATTAAATAACTAGTGAGGTTTCTTTTCTTCATTGAACCCTGACTGGTAAATCATAAAATGGGGAATAAATTAGAAGAATGCAAAGTGAGCTCAGGATAAGAAAGGGATTGTAATGCTATGTCTGGATCAAGGGTGTACAACTGATTTTTAAAGTAGTGGTATGATATTTCCCATGGCTGTGTGATTCTAACTGTCCCTGTAGATCGTCAAGTCACCCAAGTCATTATGAATAAATTTAACCCTATCTTCATTTTCTTTACTCAGGGGTAGTAAAGAACCACGTCCTCAGCAAAAAGGAAATCATTCCTTTCACTAGTAACCACTCCATTAGGATTCTAAGTTGTAACCATGCTTCTTTGGCCTCCTTCTCTCTTCGCCTACAAACCCAGATACCTATGTATATATCTTTCCTAGAGATGCTACATGTAGTTTCTGAGGTAGCTGTCTGGGATTTCTGAAAAGCTGTCTTATAACTCATTTAATCTACTCTGCCTTTTACCACTAAGCTATATCACATACCAACTTCACTCACAATGAACCTAGTATCTGGCTCAGTTTAATATTAGGTTTTTCCTTGTGCCCAAGCAGTCTAAAATTTATCACACTCATACCTTCTTTTTCAATTCTTCTCTATACTCCTGCCATGTGGTCATTTGGGCTCCTTAAAAATTTTCCCTGCCATTTAAGTACATATACATAATTATCATAATATTCCCATAACCGATTTAACTGGGTAACTGGTCATGTTTTCTTCATATCGGTTATTGAGAAACCATTCTCTGAGTTCCTCAGACATAGACATCTGACTGAAGAAGACTGTAGAGATTAAACACAGATGTTGTCGAAACCGTGATTCCCATACATCCCACTGTGTTTTACCACATAATCCAGAACCACACTTAAAAAAAAAGACTTCAAGAATTAAAATACAAAGATTATAAAAAAAATATAAGAATGGAGTGAGATAAACTCTTACTAGTTGAGCAGAATTCAGACTCTAGAGTCACTTGTTGAATTAATTCCTAAATTGCTGTGGCTTCTCTTGGCAAAGATGAAAGGACTCCATTGATATAAGAGAAACCATGGAGACTTCCTTTTCATGATGTGGTCAGAAACAACATTGTGGGTTCTGCACAAATACCTAAACAGAGCACGTTCTTCCATGTGCCAGTTCTTTTCTAGTAAAGACTTTCTTATTTTGAGAAGGTGGTGATGTGAGAATGTTTGGAGACTATGCAGGAAAGCAGAGAGACATCTCTAGTGCCTTTTGTGCCTAGAGTCCAAATTATTGATGGAGATTGAGGCCTTTGCTGTGGACATCTTCTAAGATGTTTTCAATATCCCCTGCCTCCTGTCTACATGCCTTTGTATATACCCACGTCCATGTGGATTGGGCCTTGTAACTTACATGCAATGAATAAAATGTCAAAAAATATTGGGCAATAACCAGGTATACCTTACTGGTATACCACACAGGATCTTGAGATTATCATGTTAAGTGAAATAAGTCAGAAAATTTTAGAACGATCTGATTTCACTTATATGTGGGATATAAGACTGAAAGCAACAAATGAACAACACAAACAAACAAAAACTCATAGACAAAGACAACATCTTAGTGGTTACCAGAATATACGTACGACAGATTATTGAATTGTACACTTGAACCTATATGATTTTATTAACCAATGTCACCTCAATAGATTTTATATTAAAAATTTTAAAAAAATATTGAGATGTCACTCTGACATCAATGTGTAAATAGAGTCAGGCTTTCGGCTATCAGCCCTCTTCTACTCTCTCACCAGCTCACTCTGTTAGAAGAGAGCTGTCATGTTGTCAGCTGCCAAATGGAGAAGCTCAGATGGTAAGATGCTGAGGGATGCCTATGGCCAACTGCAAATGAGGAACTGATTCCTTCCAAAGCCACGTGAGTGAACTTTGAAACTGGAGTCTCTTCTAGTCAAGACGTGAGATGACTACATTCTTACATTGAGAATACAGACATTAGCGAAACCCCCTACAGGATTTAAGAAAATTGTCAATTTGTTATGTCAAAATAGATAGTCTACTGTAACAATATACATAAATTCTACAGGAA